TGTATCTTTTAAACGAATCTAAATATTTCATTATCACTTCAAATATGTTTGAGTGTTTACACTCAATATTTGTGGCAGGCCATATGAAAGAAAGGGGACATAAAACTTCATCAATGTGTCATAATCATGTCTCTGAGCATATAGTGATAACATTGAGTGCACGGATTGGAAATTACACCGAACAGATTCGCATTAGATTTAACATAACTTGAATTTTGGCAATGCCACTGGCTATATTCAAAACCAGAAGGGTTGGGGTTTACATTTTATAATGTGATTCTTTTATAGTGTTTTTCTAGGAAAATTATAAATACAAGAAGGTTTGTTTGAAGATTTAAAATATGTACTTATGTGTGTATACATACATGCATGCATGCATGCATGCATACATGAGTGAGTGAGTGAGTTTAGTTTTACGCCACTTTTAGAAATATTCCACCAATATCACGGCGGGGGACACCAGTAATGGGCTTCACACATTGTACCCATGTAGGGAATCGAACCCGGGTCTTCGGCGTGACGAGCGAACGCTTTAACCACTAGGCTACCCCACCGCCCCGCATGCATACATGAGCAAACCTACTAAACCACTGTGTAAAACAAACGTCCCCATATTGCATCTTTCGCGTTTGTGTTGCGATCATGTGAAGGTTGATTTAAACATATTAATTCAAGAGAATGGATTGGGTACAAGTTATTCAAACTTAGTGAAACTCCTATTTACAGTGCTTAAATGCACAATTGAAACAAACTATGTGTGCAGAGATAGAAAGATATATACAAAAGGATATATACAATACAATGAATATATGATTTTTTTAGATCATAAACATTATATCCAATTACTGAACCTTTTGGAGTTTGATATATATTTTTGAACTTATCATTATGTGAAGGTTGCTTGAAACAGTAATGCACGACCAAACATCAAAACGATCGCGGCGTTTCGAGATTGTAGTCCTCATGATCAATGGCGAGCGAGGGGGCATTTGTTTTGAACGTATTATCTGCAAACATAAAGCGTAAACACCAGAAAATAACCCACTTTCACTTATCCGTGGAAAGAGGTAACACCACATGGCGTTAAGACAAAACAGCCATAATGCTTACAGTGCCAGGCTGTAAACAAGGTCTTTATGACGACAAATAGATTTGGGTATGTGCAGTGAAGACATCATGACGCATAATGAAGAAAGGTATCCGTATATTGACACAACCAAGGCCCTCTATCTTACCCCCACGCTACACGCCTACACCGCGCAGAGCGCTGTAGTGGCCATCTGCAAGTCGTCCACCTCTACAGCTAAACCATTTAGGATTGCCTCTTATGCAACTGACTGCAAACTGAAGGACCAAGCGGGATTAATCGCCCAACACAACCCGTTCGTGTCGTTCGTGTGTGCTGTACTTACGTCGATATTGAATTTTGGTGGTCATCGCTCCCACGTGTCTTTGTCACGTATACCTCACTGTCCGTTGGTTGTGTGGAGTGAGCAAAGGCTGGTCGGTATTCAGTCAAGAAAAGAAACAGGACTAGTATCATGCGCCAGAATGAAGAAGCAGTACATATTTTTAACCTTCCATTTCGAATGTAATCTTGCCGAAACAATAGCTCGGTCTTTCTTGGGTCGACTAAACATTGTCTTATTTTATTTTTGATCCGTCTACTTATTATATTACCATTCCATCTCACATTTACTTGTCATCCATCCCTTCATTCATCATCTAATCATTGTATTTTCAAATCCTTTAATATGTATCCGTCCATTTAACCATCCCATCTCACCATTTACTTGACATCCATCCATCCACCCATACATCTATCCATTTATCATCCATCCATCCATCGTCCATCCATCCATCCATCCATCACCCATCCATTCACAATCCATCCATCCACCCAACCATCCATCCGTCCATTCACCCATCCATCCATCCATTCACCCATCCATCCACAACTGACGTGGTGTGGATGGTCCGATGCCCTTGCTGCGTCAAACGCCAGAAGACGTTACATAGACGGCAGTTACCCCTGTTTGACGCTGGGCAATAAGGACTAAAGCAAGGATATTGCAGCGTATGGTACTTGTTGGTCCCTACCTGGCTTTCGGCATTAATGGGTACAACAAGGACTGGTCGGCTCGGAGTCAGTATACTGTGAGTGGGGAATTCATGCTTAACTGCGGCATGGTATCTCAGTGGGCTATCACTATAAAACCAGCTTAGGTCTGGGCTAATACAAGCAGCCACACATACACACGCATGCACGTCGTCATATGCGCGAAATATTCTCAATTACGACGTTAAACCCCATTTCTCCTCACCTCAGCGTGGATTCAGTGTACTGTGTCTGAATGGACTATGTCGAACTGTGGCTTGGTATGTCAGCGGGTTAGCATCAAGTAAAACGCATAAATCCTTGCTGCTCACCCACGTACACAATAACACATTAGTGAAATGATCTTACACTGATGTAAAACCCCATCTGTACGTACTCAAATATATTATCAGCCAAATTCAACTTTCAATGTCTGAAAAAACACAATCTGCCAAAGAAGAAGATATTACATGAAAGCCAATAACGTTTTTTGACAGTGTATATAACACGAAGGCAAAGAACGGTTTTTGAAAGTGCCTATCACATGAAAGCCAAGGAGGTTTGTGACTATGCTTATCACATGAAAGATAAGGGTTTTTTTTGACTGTACAATGTTGACCGATCTCACATAACATAACACAGTCACTTTTGATCAGTGTAGATCAAAACAGCTTTAAGTTACTAATATTGTGCATGTACACATCTTTAGTCCTCTTTCAATCAGTCTTCTTGAGGTCAGTGTTCTGGGAAGATCTGGGTCGGGGTAGCCTAATGGTTAAAGCGTTCGCTCGTCAAGCCGAAGACCCGAGTTCGTTTCCCCACATAGGTACAATATGTGAAGCATGGTTCTGGTGTTCCCCGTCGTGATTATGGTGGAATATTTCTAAAAGTGGCGTAAAACTTAACTCACCCATACACTCTTGAAAGATCTGTCAGCGGTTAAAGGGACCAACGAACGTACATGCACGTGGGGAGGGTTTGTAATTTGATTTGTTAGACTCTGAGTTAAGTTATGTTTTCGTGAACAAATTTACTGCAGCAACCTATGCTTGTAAAGGTTGACTTACGGGATCGGCTATCCTTACTACGTATACGTAGATCGATGATCATGATGTCAATCACTGGATTGTCTGGTCCAGAGTGGATTATTTACAGACCGCCTTCATGTGGCTGGAAAATTGCTAAGTGTGGTTTTCAATAACAAAAACACCAAACAAAAAACAACATAGAGTGATCCTAGTACCATTTGAACAATGGAACCCGTGAAGATCCGGGTTAGAATTGACCTTCAGTGACCCATGCTTGACCTAAAAGACGACTAACGGGATCGGGTGGTCAGGCTCGCTGACTTGGTTGACACATGTCATCGTATCCCAATAGCATAGATCGATGCTCATGCTGTTGATCACTGGAATGTCTGGTATAGACTCTGAGTATTTACAGACCAGCACCATATAGCTGGAATATTGCTGAGTGCGGCGTTAGACTAAACTCACTCACTCACTTGAACAATGGCGCCGCCATTGCGACGACACCCGGTGTCAGCGTGATGCAAGAAAAAATGCTCATGATATGATCGGAACCGTGAGGCGATTCTGCCATCGCCAGAGCATTCTCATTGATATGGAAAGTGTTTTGTCACTTTTATAAACCTTATTGTGACCTTTCGAGACAGAAAACTTACAATTTAACCCATGTGTTTTAGATTTTAAAACACACGAGCTTACACGATTGGATAACGTTATTGAAATCTTCGATACTCGTAGAAAAACTTAAATAAAATTGATAAAGACATGGCTTGAAAGAGGGAGTTATAAAAACTCAATTACAAGACACGCGGAATAACTATTAAATTCATAGACAAAAGTATAGTTTGGATTAAGTCCAAATGTGTGGGAGTGGAAAGAATATCCCCAACTTATATTACTGGATGACTTCTGCACTATCATTGTCTTTTTCTACGATTAAGCGTTTTCAGAAGTAATAGCACTGAACGTAAAAACTGACTGATAAGTTGTTACGTAGACTTTTTCAAAGACAAAGCATTTTCAGGCCTACTAGCACAAAGAAGTTCATGTGTCTCTAAAGTCGTTACATACAAATCTAATATGGACATTCTAAACGAAAGAAGGAGAATAGTTCAACGAAAAACATAATGTCCATAGAAGTCGAACCACGGGTATTCACCGAGTTGTGCCTTTCATGTCTATGTTTTCATTTGGCTGACGGCTATAGTTAGTGTGATCATGGATCAGCGTTTACTGCAATTGATTCCGTTATCCTGTGTTCAAAATGACCATTTATTGCAATCATGCGAAACGTTGAATACACCGCAACCTGTAATTATAGCTTGTTTTCATATAGCGCGTGAGTGTTATCAGAAATGGTAAAATCATTGCTATGAGTCATGATATAAGTGCTATGTCGTGCTTTAAATAATCTCATAACTGTTAGAAACAGTTCTTACTGTGTAGATGACACGTAGAAATAGTATCTAGTGATGTGTTTGTAAACAAATGGACTTTCGCTGACAAGTGTATTGACAATGTTGTTCGAAAACAAAAATGTCTAGCTCAAACGTAACATGATTTGATGAAGGATTTCCAAATCGTAACCAGAAGCACTTGGCTCAAGGGTTTTGGTACTACAGAACAGTTTCCCTACAAACACCGCTGTACCTACACGCTCATTAACCTACTCTTAATTCTAAACCTGCTAGATTCATGAATGGACTGTGCTATTTCACGAGTCGTGTCGCAAATGGCTTTCCTCTAATCGAACACAGCCCGTGATTGGAATAGATATCGATCCCTCCTCCTCCCTTTTCTCATCCATGCGCTGCTATCACGGGTCAGTTTCTCCCCCTAAACCACAGCGTTCGCCGAGCCCCAATCCTTCCTGAAGCCTCATCGCTCTCCAAACCATATGGCCACGCGGACGCTCGTAGCTTCAGTCGCGCCTCGGACAGCGGAGCGATAAGTCGTAGCTATACTGGACTACTTTCACGGGGATAAGTGACAGACGGCAAGCGACTTGGTGTCAAGGGATATTCTACGGAAGGTTAGTGTTTTGTTTAGATCTAAAATAGTGTTTTCAATTTAAAAAAGGTGGACATATATTCTGATCACGTCATTCCGTATCCAAACATATCTGACTTTGATAACAAAATTGCATGTTTACGTTTGTCGTCAACTTTTTGATGTGGACAACTCACAAAGAGAACACATGCATGATTGAAAGGCTGTCATTATGTGGGTGAACTTACGGAAATGTTCTTCATACAAAACATAGAACTTATGTTATTTTTCATTGTGGAAGAATATTTTGTTACAAAACTATATGTTAAGTGTGGTTACGACTTTGAAAGAATCGGTATTTGTTCATGAAGCATCGGTAAATAACCTCTGTCATGTTCTGATCCAATTATACAAATGTGCTCAGCATTCAATAAATGAAAGGTAATGCGCTCTATTTGAAACGTAGTAACCATGAATAGAATACTTGTACAGTAATCTACCTCGTGTGATATTTATCAGGGTTTTCTTTTGCTTAGCCTAGTTGATTGTGTGTCGTTTCTAATGTCTCCTGCCATATCTGCTGTACCTTGATATACTTGTTTAGCTGGCTTTGGTTTCTTCTTCACTTGTGAAAAGTCAAAACCTCAACATAAGAGAATATTAGTCTGTTACCTTCAAAAAATATATTTCCATTAAATGCAATTGGGAAAATGTATATACAATGCATATAAATGGATCACTGAAAATCCTTGATGGCACCAGGTGTTTGCAAAATGAGAAAACATATCCTGCTCTGCTGATGAGTAAGGAGGTAGGACGTATCAACGTCACATCACGGGGTAACATCATGTTGACAAGCGACGTGTCATATTCAATTAATCTGAGGAACGCCCGCCAACAAATTCTGGAATGACTTAACAAGACACACTCAGCAAACGAAGATAATCTATTGCACGTTTTCTGATGAATTTATGTGTTACATCTTGGGCATTTAAGAACAAAGAAATAACCAATTTGAAAAAAGAACTAATTGAAGCTTGTACGTGTGGTATCTGTTAGCAACGGGAAACGGTAGTTTTATTTCAAATGTTTCCTCTTTTGAAAAGAACGTACGGAATGCTTGCCTTAAGCAGATTAACAATGTTTCTGTATAGCATCATAGGTTTCCGTAACATTAAATCCAATCTAACTTGATAGGAGTGCTTATTGATTTTTGTATTTAAATTGTAATGAATATGAGATGTTGATCTCTAAAAGATCATATTCATAAAAGTTTCCATAGTTACTGCTGCAGTTGTTTAGTTTTCTCTAATTCCCAAGCTGCGAAGCTGAGTCAAATTATGAATATTTGATATATATTATTGCTGTAATAATGTATATCTTAGACGCTTCAGTAATTCTTCAATAGATCTTAGACAATGATAGTGATATGCACCAAGTTCAAATCGTAATGTGAAAAGTGAACATGTATTGACAATAGATTTCCTACCAGGGCAATGTTATACGGTACAAACGTACTTAAGGACAAAGCAACTCCAACGTTACCCTATGCTGCCTAGATACTCAACTGTTTGATAAAAACTCTGCTATTACAACCTTAGTTCTGGTATCATGGGGTGTGAGTATCCGTGTTTATTGCATTACAGCTGTTTGGGAAACAATTCACGTAATTATGAAGAGCCACCCTCTGACATGATTGAGATGATTATGATGAGTATATATAGCCGCCGTTTATCCAAATGTCAGAGTTCCAGAAGTACACCGTTGGAAGGAGTCATGTCGGCTTATTGAAACATCCCTAACCATTATCGGTAGTTAGTTTGGCGAAGCGTTTAATCACATGGTAATACTGGAAGAGATATTCCGTTGTAGGTCTGACTAGAAATGATTGGTACCGTAAGAATCCTCTGCCCTAACATCTACAATACTACTTAGTCTACACTAAATGGTGATCTGGCCAAGTCTTTAAATTCAGAGTTCTGGCGAGGTTCCGTGTCTGAAAACAGACATCTGTAATTAAATGGCTATTTTTCCTTGTACACTTTGCTTCACTCGGATGAAACGTTCTTCATTTGAAAGGATGCTTTTGAGTAAACGTTTTAACAGTGGTTTGGAAATGGATCCAAATCTAAAAATATACCTCTGGCTGGCTTTCTTGTAAGTCAGTTTCACGTTACAAAGAACACTGAAATAATGGCCGTCACGGTTATTAGTTTCCTAGGGAGGTAACAACGTATGTCTTACCTGACCATATTCTCATTATTTGGTGTATACGGTAGCTTTACTGGCTTGTTGTCAGGTGACAGTATACCTGCATTCGTTTTGGAAACCATTTTCACACTGAGATGCATTCTGAAATATATTTTATATCATTTAGATCTATATCCATCAGACAATCGAAGAAGTTATTTCATGTATCATTGTCTCTGCAACGACCGGGACGATGGAAGTGGCTTTTGAGCATGGGTCGGTGAACACGTTGGACTGGTACAGCCACTGATTGTGTCGGTAGTGATAGCATATATATATGTGTGTGTACTTTTTAACAAGGCAAGGCAATCTTTATAATACCAAGCATTTACGCACCTGTGTAGAGTTCCTTCTAACCCACCCAATGTGTTGATGTTTGCATAAGTAAAACATATAATCTTTAGTTGCTCCTAATAAGTTCACACTACTTCTTCCAAAAATCCTTGACAGAAGTAAAATAGTTGCTTTGTATAGAAGCGTTGCAATAATCTATGCGTAACTTTCATCGAGGTGTTGGATAAATAATTCCATATCCCTCTGAAGGCTTTGAAACAGTTGCAAAAGAGAGCCCTTGTACCTACTGTAATTAAGTAAGCCTCAGGTGAGCTGTTAATTAAGGATGGTTTAAGCAAAGCTGGGTGTGAGTGAGAGCTTGTTAAAGATGCACAATGTATTATTTAGCGCAGTGATCTTTGTCATAATCGCTTGGCTTGCAACGTTAAGTGAACGGCAGTCATGGATTCTGGGCAGGAATCTGTTAACCGCTGATAACGACAATGTGATGTCGGTGTGGTTCCTTTCAGCCTGATTAAACTATAGAGATGTTTATATCACTTTAATCGTGTAATGCATTGATTTCTTCAGATTTTAATTTCTACTCGTAAGCGTTTTCTGATTATCTGTTCGATTTCTTACAACTAAACGCTTGTCCTTCGAGAAAAGAGTGTCATACTCTGATTTCACAAGTGGATATGTTGTTGCACTTAGATAATTAGTAAGTTCGTTTTTTCAGGAAAATCGATGAAACAGAATTATTTGAACATTTTTCAATTTCAAAATATCCCATAAGTATTTGCTCGGGTCATAACTTCATTGACTTTTAAATCATGATATTTTTTGTGGAGCTAACGTTTGTCCTGGATGTAAGTTCAGGAGAATATCAACTTAAACTGATTAAGGGTATCGAGGGGAATTCATTGCCCTATATCACTTGCAAGGCCTTTCAGGTTATCTGTTTTTCCAGACTGATTTTTGTCCGATGGTAGAATACGGTATAGAGAATAAAGAAGCCGGAGTCATTCCCCAGTACTTTCAGGCCTGTTTGCATATCACTGCAAGAGTAACATCATTATGGGCATTTTGAACCCTTGAGTAAAACACTACAAAGGCTACAATGTAAGTTTTCACAAGGGATAGACAATCTCATTTGGAAAATCCAGAGTATCGTTTTCATGCCGTTAATTCACGGCTGCGGCGAAAATGGCGTATTTTTCGAGTCTCGCGAGAACATATCTCTGAATGCTGTTCCAAGAGCAACAAAAGTGGAATTTGTCAACATTGTGGCTTGGCTATGATATTGTTATTGGAGTAAGATGACCCTGACAGACGAGTACCGTTTATAGATTAGCTCGCCTGTAATTCCAGCGACGTAACTAGATTTCATCCTCTGACGTCTCTTGTTACACCGGTTGCAGTGGGCCTCGCGTATATGACGCCCACTTTTGTCGTTTCTGTAAGGCGTCTTATTCGACATGTTGTTTGACCGCCGTAGTGGTCTAGTGGAAACAGCGTCTGTTCAAGGTCGGTGGTCGGATCTCTTGGATGCTTCACAGGAAATCACATTAATAGATGAAACTTGTTGTTGCCCTGCATGTGGCTCGGCATTAAAGTGATAGCACAACGACTGGACGAAAGTATAATGCGATTGAGTGGGTGTGACAGTTAAACAACGGGGTATGGTATGCCAGTGGTCTATCCTTATGAAACCGGCATTAGTGTGGACCATTACAAGTACCACCACCGATAGGCAGGTCGATATATACTCCCGCTAAGTGCACTAATCCTGAACGCGACCTTAATCCCCACTTTCCCGTCACCATATGTGGTTTCACGGGCTACTTTGTACACCTGAGGTACACAACACATGATGCAAAACAGGCAAGATAGCTTCATTTGTGCTGCGGTCCATCATTACAAATGAATGGTTTGTCTTTTCCATTCAGTCCTCTATTCCATCATAAAACAATTTTATGAATGTTTGAAAAACAACCCAAATATTGTTTTCATTTTCTCGCTCTGATTTGTCATTTGGCTCTAGAATGTACTACAAAATGTTTTTTATTCTGCTGAATGAACTGATCCATACTTCTTTAATCTCAAACAAAGCCTTGATTATAGGTATCAGACCTTAATTAGATTATCCCATTAAGAATACAAAAAAGTAACTAATTAATTAGAAGAAATAGTTAGAGAAACGTATATTTTGTTTCTATGTATGAATGATCGAAGCGTTAGTCTATTGCTCAAAATGTTAAAGGGGTGGTGGGGTAGCCTAGTGGTTAAAGCGTTGGCTCGTCACGCCGAAGACCCGGGTTCGAATCCCCACATGGGTACAATGTGTGAAGCCCATTTCTGGTGTCCCCCGCCGTGATGTTGCTGGAATATTGCTAAAAGCGGCGTAAAACCATACTCAGTCAGTCGGTCAAAATGTTAAAGTGCCCATCACTCCGAAAATGCCTGGGTATGATTCCCCATGTGTGAAGACAATTTTTGGTGTCTCCCGCTGTGATTATC